AGGAACAATTTTCTGTCAACTTAAATTCATGCCATTGCTTTGATTCCCTCACGAAGCGACAACGAGACATAGTGGCCCTATTGGGAAACAGAAAAGTATAAAAATTCATTTCTAACATTGTTTTATATGTAGAATAGGAACCCACACAACTATAGTCCTTCCTGAAATTTCTGTATGGGATGATCTCAATCGGTTATAGTCATACGTTTTGTCTTCTTTCCCAGCAAACACTCAACTGTTCAATGCGGTAGATGAAATGCTTATTTAGTTAATCATTTATTTAATCTAGTACACTCGCAAATGTCAGTAAAAACATAGGATGATTGATTGGCAATTAACATCACCAGCGGAACTTGGTAAAAAATACCTATTCGTTCCCAAAAAACTGCTCCAAAATCAAACAGTTCCAATAACAAGAGTTGAATTCATACAAGTTCATCTTTACTGCCCAGAGAACCTGTAGTTAAAAAGGTCTTGTTGAAACCTACTAAGGTGATATTTTTTCCATGGCCAATTTGTCACACCCACTTCTGTTCATCGTCAGTGATTTATTGCTGTAATAGTGCATTATGTGGCGACAACGTTTTCTACCGTTTTCACGCTCTAAAGAGCATCTCCGAACTATGACTCATACCTTGACATTGCGTTGTTCTTATTTGCTGAAGAACTTTGGCACATACGAACAATTGTCTTTCTAACATGCGGATTTGTCACAATTGAGATTTCTAGAGCTCTTCATAATAGTAGAATATAATATTTTGTGTATCACACTGTAAGGTCGATGGTCAAATGAAATTTTCAAAATTCAATGAAATATCTCCTGACAAATTTATTTTAGAAAGGCTCCTTCCCTAAATTAATATGACAATTCCTGTCACCAAAGCTGTGATTAGCTCACACATGTTTTTGATTAGCGCTGTGCTCAAATTCGGGTTTTTCAAAAATTTTATTTTCATATTATTCCACTATCAGATACTTTATCACACTCTGAAATTCCCTCTGTTTAATTGCTCTGGAAGTCATTTTCTATAACTTTGACTTTCTTTTTGATTGAAGGAAATTCCTGGAATAACTAG